CAGTCGAGCCCACCCCAGACTTCTGACCTACAAAACTATGAGCTAATAAATGGGTGTTGTTAAGCCTCTAAGTTTGTGGTGATTTGTTACTGAGCAATAGAGAGCAAATACAGGGTCCAGCACAGTGACGGCTCTAAGTTGTATAGGCTGACCCCAGGCGAGAACGCAAGGGCAGCATTCTGATTTCACCCCAAATGCTGGGATTCAGCCTCATCCTGCACTCTGGCTGTGCCCCTCCTCCACACACAAGCATCCAAATCTTTGTCCACGTAGTGTCTGCCAGAGGCCCTAGTTCCAATCGGTGGACGAGGAAGTTTGGACACAAACTATTTATAGATAGACCAATTGCAGGGGAATAGCACAACTTCTTAGGCCTAATCATCCAGGTTTCTTAGAAGTTTGCTTCTCCGCTAACTCTCTCCTGTATTTCCACCCCATTCTGATGCTGTTGGATCTTCTAGTCCTTGGCAAAAGCAAAATCTCTTCTAGCAAGTTATTGAAGCAGGATTCCCTAATTTAAGACCCAGACTATCCTTCCAGATAGTTCCTTAAATAAGTTCCAGAATGAATTGCTCTCTCTCAGTCACATGATCTAACTGCATTGATTTTGTCCCCTGGCAGAGATGATTAGAGGCCACTGAAATCCCTGCTCCCCTTGTAGTTGTCATTAAAGGGCAGAAACTACATTTCCCAGCTGCTCTTGCAACTAGGTGTGGTCATGTGAGTCATTCCCACCAATAGGATATGAGCAGAAGAGCTGTGTGTCACTTCTGAGCCAAGGCCACAGGAAGCAGAAACAGATGTGCCTCCGCCATACTTCCCTTCCTCCTCTGTCCACTGGTTGTAGACACCAGTGAGCCCCTGGGGAATGCAGAGCACCCAGATGGAAAGAGCCTGGGTTCCTGGATCACTACATGGAGGAAAGTCCCTGGCCTATCTGGAACACCTGCCTTGAGGGGCCCCTGGGTGGCTCAGTCGATTAAGTGTCTGCCTTCGGCTCACGTCGTGATCTTGGAGTCCTGGGATCAAGCCCTGCGTCGGGCTCCCTGTGCAGCGGGGAGTCTGCTTCTCCCTCTCCCTCTGCCCCTCCCCCCTACTCGTCTCTCTCTCTCTCTCAGATAAATAAATAAAATCTTTAAAAAAAAAAGAATACCTGCCTTGGTGTGTTATATGAATAAGAAATACATTTTTAAGGTATTTGAGTCATTATACCATTATACATAATTTGAACCATTATATATAACTTGAATGATTGTTACATATTTTGGGGTCGGTTACTGATTCTTAGCCTACACTTTACAAAGCACATACATCCCTCTGCTTGGCCCTCGACCCGAATCAAGTAGCACAAGGTGCTGACTAACCTGGATGAAAGCCTCTAAATATCTCAGTATTTCACTTTCCTTGGCTGGCGCCCACCCCTGCCTTGGTTCACAGTCGGCTTGCTCCAGAGCCTGGCTGACTCAGCTGGCCTGGGCCACCATCCATCTGCTGTCAGTGAGGGCCTGGCTCACAGAAAAATGCACATTTATTCCCCCAAACATAGGGTTCTTATTTTTCAGCAAAGGAGGTGCAGCAATAAATTTGGAGAAGCAAAACTGTTGTTGAGCACATGGCTGCTGGTAACTTTGGGACACCGCCAGGGAGCACACGTCCTCAGTCCTCAGGCTCTGAGCAAGAGCCTCTAGTGGTGGGGGAAGAGGGAGAGGGAGGTACTGGAGAGGGGAGGTGACAATTCTCTCAGAAAGCAATTAAGCATTTCTTGGCACCCTTGGGGACAACCTCAACTTTTGTGCATTTCCCCCTGGGAGGCTGGGGAGGGGGTGGGGATGAGGAGGAGAGCACCTGTAGCTACAATTCTTGAAAGTTCTGCCTTGTGCAGTGGTTCAGACTCGAAGAAGCTCACTGCAGGAAGGCAGCCGCCCCAGACCCGGCCCCCCTCCCCGCCCCCTGCCCAGGGATGCTCCCTCCCGCACCAGCAGCGGGTATACAGAGCAGCTCCAGGGGGATCCGGGAATGGACCAGGAGTGGGGTCCAAGATACAAGGGGGCCCCCTTTCTTGGTCCAGTGCTGAAGAGCAGCTCTGGATCATCAGCCCCAGCAGAGCAGACAGGCCGGGCTGCGGACAGGGATGTGGCTTAGGACGGGCCCCGGGCTCTACTGCAGTTCACAGATGCCACAGTCCAGCTCTCCTGTGGGCTCGGAGGACCTGGAGGTCATAGACTCTCACAGCAGCCCCGTGCTTTGTGGGGCTCCAGAATGACTCTGCCTCAGCAATTTCCAGTGCAAATTTGCATTTTGTTTGAGTCTGGAAATAACGGCGGCAGACTCCCCAGGGCCCAGGAACCTGCTTTGCTCCTCTTGGCATCTTATGTCCAGGAGCAAGACGCAACCAGATGCATAGGGCGGCACTGAGGTTAAGCTACAACAAGTTGACCTGGCCTGCCCCACGGATGCCGAGCCACCTCGAAGAGACGGTCAGGGAGGGTCCCGGGCCTCTCCACGCCCCTTGCTGGTCACATGAGTGGCCTGAATCCTCCATGAGCACCAAGAGGGTGTCTCTACTTCAGACTCTGGGCAGGGATCAGCACGAGCCCTGACGTGGTGGTGAACTGAGCGGCCAGGGCTGGATGCATCTCATGCAAGATGCCTTTAGAGATTTCTGGTGAGAATATCTTCCCAATTTTCCCGACCCTTCACTGGCTCAACACACGCCCTGCCTGGAGCCTTTTCCAACAACTAAATCCTCCCTCCCCTGCACCTGGCCTGGCTCCTCTCACTCTGTCACTTACAGCTTAGGACTTTGTTCCTCCCAAAATGTCCCCTCTCCAGATCTAGCTGAGACCTTTCCATGCCTAGTTAGTGAACACACTTGCCCTGATCCCCACCTGCACACCCCATCTCTCCCAGGGGGACCAGGGAGCCCGGATTTGACAGGCGCAACTATCCGGTGTGCACGGGCGCTGGATGCCCACAGAGGATTCCAGAGACCAAGGTCTTCCCAGGACTGGCAGCTCGGATGGCTCCCGGGGCAGAAATAACCCAAGCCTGCTGCCCTTTCCTTCTTGAGTGACTCAGCAAGAAGCTGGGGGACAAGGGGCTTAGGGGGAGGGGTTAGCCTGGTGATGGGTATTAAAGAGGGCACGTATTGAATGGAGCACTGGGTGTTATACGCAAACAATGAATCATGGAGCACTACATCAAAAACTAATGATGTAATGTATGGTGATTAACATAACATAATAAAATAAAATTTAAAAAAAAAAAAGAAGCTGGGGGAGAGAAATACAAACCTAGTCCTGGATCTTGCAGAGGGGATAGCGGGCAAGGTGACAGCCTTTGGCTGTGTGTGGAAAGGAACCAGTCCAGGGCTGGGCACTAAGAAGATGCTCAACCTCACTTCGAATAAAAGAATCAAACGAAAACAACGCCCAAGCCCCATTTTCTACTGAGCAGATTGGCAAAGATCAAAGGTTCGACAATGCACTGAGCTGGCAAGGGTGGAGAAAGGCACTCTTGGGCTTTGCCAGGAGGACTGTAGATGCACACATCCTCCACGGAGGGCAATTTGGCAGAATCTACTGAATGCACAAATTCTGTGACCCAGCAATTCCGCTTTCCGAAACGTATCGCCCAGCGGTGCACATTTGTGGAATGACCTAGGGCCATTGTTTATAAGAATGACAAGGGATGGGAGGCGCCCTCCATAGGTGACGGATTCCACACTTACGGTATGCCCAGGTGATGGAACACAGCACCAGGACAAGGAATTGGAGCCATTGATGCATGGATCTGGAGACAGGTCCCAGTTATGTTGTAAAGTGGGAAAACTAAAGAAGAGCAAAGCAAGAGCAGAACAGGCTGCAGGCGTGGCTGGTTTCGAGTCTCAGTGAATGAATGAATGAATGAATGAATGAATGAATGAATGAATGAATGAACGAACGAATGAACTGGCATGCTCCCATTTGGGTAAAAATCATAAAAGAAAAATAGTGCATATGCTCATCTGGTTGTGTGTCCTGAGCAACAACTCTGGATGGATACCTAAGAAACGGGTTCCATCGGTTCCATGGGAGCAAGCATTTTCATGATATACCTTTTTTGTTAAATTTGTAACTTTAAATGGCTACATGACCTATTGAAAAAGAAAATACAGTTTCAACTACGTGGGCGCCCCCTGCCTCTGGAGTGGAATGGAATGGAATGGAATGATCCCAGAACTCGAGGGGCCACCAGCAAGTTCCAGGACAGAATGTGGCTATCATTCCGTCTTACACTCCCACGGCATGTGACATCTTACAGACTCCTTCATTTGCGCTGCGCCTTCAATCCTCAGGACAGCCCCTTTCTTTCAGATGAAGAAATGGAGGCCCAGAGGGTAAGTGATTTCTCTGAAGTCACACAGCAAGTGGTTGAGCCCAGACTTGCATCCAGGTTTGCTGGCTCCCTCTCTCCTTTTCCTCCTCACTTGAGAGTCCTGGGGACTCAGGTCGCTGCTGTGATGTCTGCCTAGAACGTTTCTACCTAGAACATGAGCCAGGCCGCAGTGCAGACGGGTGCAGGCCCCGGCTGTGATGTCAGGGCCTGGCCTCGAACTCTGGGTCGGCGGCATCCTACCGGGGTGACTTTGGGGAAGTTGCTTATTGGGCTGACTCTCAGTTACTTCATCTGTGAAGCAGGAACCAGACCACCACCCACTTCAGAGGGTTGTCCTGAGTTTGACATGAGCTCAGTGCCAAGGACATAGCAGCCTCAAAGTAAGACGGAGCCAGGCTGTCCGGAGTCCGGAGCTGCCCTCTGAGACAGCTCCACTATGAGCTGCCTACTTCTTAGGAATCTTGCACAAACCAGAAAGAAAAGCGTTTTGCATGCATTGCAGGGTTGGTTCTGCACCGCGGGCCGGTGGGCCTTCCTTCTGATGTTCTTTTCTCCTTCCCTTTCATTCCCACCCTCTCTCATCCTCCCTGCTCCTGCCTGGCTCTCAGCAACCTGGAGGGATGGCCCCGAGATTCTGCACAGAGACCCAGGGCTGCCCTCAGCAGAGAAGGGAGGCCGCCTGTGGCTCACCCCTGCCCCTCACCTCCACGGAAATACCCCAGACCTGTTTTCTTTGGAAATTATAATCAACCAGAAAAAGGTGAACAGGAGGGAAGAAGGCAAACAGAAGCAAGTTTTTCCTCTCCCTTTCTCCACTAAATAGGCTGGAACACTAAGCCTTTAGCTACATATCCCCCCCCCCCCCCCCCGCCACCACCACTGTTTTCTAAAATAAAATAAAAGTTTCTCTCTCTCATCTCAGGGTCTGGAGGTGGGAAGTCTTGTCTGCCAGGGCTGTTCTGCTCCACAAAGTCTCTCAGAGAACCAGGCACTTCCCACCTTGCTGTGAGTAACAACATGATACACACCTGCAGGTGGAGGCCGCCTCAAAGCCCGGGCGGGGGGTCTCTGGGCCAAGTTCATGGTTTCACAGCCCGAAGTGCGGGTTTGCAGGTGTTAGAGGGAATCTCCTTCAGGCAAGCGCAAGTATTGGTCAAGGGGAAGGTAGCTCCACACACAAGAAAGGCAGACGCAGAGGCGGCAGCCCCACAGAAGAGGGGTTAGGGGAACATGGAATTTGTGTAAAGAGAAAGCTGTCCTTTCTTCTGGACGGACAGAACCATGGACTGAGGAATTCACCACAGTGTGTGGACTCCAGTCCTTCTGGAGGCCGGGAAGTCCAGGAGCAGGGCGCTGGTGAAGCCCTGTGCCTGGCACCTCGCGGGTGGGATCATTCTTTAAAAGACGGCAATATTAAAAATAATAAAAATAAAAACTAAATAAAGGAAGATTTTTTTAAGATTGTATTTATTTATTTATTTTTAAAAAGATTTTATTTATTTTTTTGACAGATAGAGACACAGCGAGAGAAGGAACATAGTAGGGGGAGTGGGAGAGGGAGAAGCAGGCCTCCCGCTGAGCAGGGAGCCCGATGTGGGGCTCGATCCCAGGACCCTGGGATCATGGCCTGGGCCGAAGGCAGACGCTTAACCGACTGAGCCACCTAGGCGTTCCTAAAGGAAGAAGATATTGACAAGAAGAGCCCATTTCCCTCTTAATTCAGTCTCCCCTTCTTTGCTCTTGCTTTATTTTTAAAATTAACATAGAATAAAAATGACTTTTATCTGCTTTTGGTGTTTAGATTTGTGTCACCGCCCACCACGATCAGGGCGGGACATTTCGACCTCCCTAACGCCCCCTTCAAGCTTCCCCTGGGGGAGCCGCACCCTCTCCCCACTCCTGGCCCCTGCCTGGGGACCCCCGACGTGCCCTCCGTCCCTGGAGGTTGTCTTTTTGAGAATAGGTCATAGAAATGGAAGTCTACGGCGCGTAACCTTTTGACTTTTTTTGGTTTTTTTTCACTCGGAATAATGCCTTTGGGATCCCCCTCATTGCACGTGCCAATAGGTCTCTCCCTTTATAGCTGAGTCGTATCCTATCGTCCGGGGTGCCACACTTCGTTCATCCATTCATGTGTGGAAGGACATTCGGGCTGTTTCCAGCGTTAAGTGATTATGAATAGAATGCCACAAACATTTGTGCACAGGCTCTTGTGTGAACAAAAGTTCTCCTTTTTGCAGGGCAGTGAGCCTCAACTGGAGGCAATTTTGCCCCGGAGGGGACATCTGGCAATGTCTGGAGACATTTTTGATTGTCGTGTGCTCGGCATCTAGTGGTTAGAGGTCAGGGACGCTGCTAAACATCCTGCAGTGCCCAGGTCTCATAATACGGAATGATCTGGCTCCCAATGTCACTAGCGCTGTGGTCCACAAAACTTGCCCTGGGGTAAATGTACAGACATTGAGATTGCTGGGTCACAGGGAGTGTTCACATTTAACTTCATAAGAAATTGCCGAACCGTTTTCCAGAGTGACTTTCCCATTTTGCATTCCCACCAGCAACATAGGAGAGCTCTAGGCGGGTCACATCTCTCTGCCAGTGCTTGATATGATCAGTGTTTAAAATTTTAGCCAAAAAATAAAAAATTAAAAAAAAAAGAAAAGAAAATTTAAAAATTTTAGCCATTATGGGCACCTGGGTGGCTCAGTTGGTTAAACGACTGCCTTCGGCTCAGGTCATGATCCTGGAGTCCTGGGATCGAGTCCCGCATCGGGGTCCCTGCTCAGCAGGGAGTCTGTTTCTCCCTCTCCCGCTCCCCCTTCTTGTACCCTCTCTCTCTATCTCACTCTCTCTCTCAAATAAATAAATAAAATCTTTAAAAAAATAAAATAAAATTTTAGCCATTATGATAGGTATATAGAGGTATCTCGTTATGCTTTATATTTGCATTTGCCTGATGGCTAGTGATGCGGAGTATCTTTTCACGTGCTTATCTGCTATCTGTGTGTCCTCTTTGCTGAAGTGTCTGTTCAAGTCTTTTGTCCCCATGGACCTGGGGTGCACCATCCTCCCAGCACTTGGAGGCACTAGTCCAGAAGCTTGTCAAATCTTGTTGTTCTTTTATATAGCTTAATCTCCAGCACTGCCTCCGATTGGTGGAAGGGGCCGAAAGCTCTTAGGTTCTAATGACTTGCTCTTCCTTATTTCCAGCCCCATCCAGAGGCTATGTAGGGAGCCCACACTAAGTCTCTTCTTCAGCATAAACTCAGGTGTGAGCCAAAGGGCTTGTCATAAAACCAAAAGCTGGGCGCCTGGGTGGCTCAGTAGGTTGGGCATCTGCCTTTGGCTCAGGTCATGATCCCGGAGTCCAGAGATCGAGCCCCACATCCGGCTCCTTGCTCAGCAGGGAGTCTGCTTCGCCCTCTGCCCCTCACCCCACTCATGTGCTCTTTCACTCTCTTGGTCTCTCTCTCAAATAAGTAAAATCTTAAAAATCAATCAATCAATCAATCAATAAAATAACAAAAGCCCCTCCTCTTACTTAGGAGAGGACAGGGTTTTAGGAGCTCTGTGCCTGAAACAGAGGACAAAGACCAAATACATTTCTTTTTTTTTTTAAATATATATATATATATATATTTTTTAAGATTTTCTTTATTTGAGAGACTGAGCAAGAGAGAGAGAGAGCACGAGTCGGGGAAAGGCAAGAGAAGCAGACTCCCCCGCTGAGCAGGGAGCCTTACACAGGGCTCCATCCCAGGACCCCGGGATCATGACCTGAGCCGAAGGCAGACGCTTAACTGACTGAGCCTCCCAGGCGCCCCCAAACATATATCTCATTGCACCACTTGTATAGACTTACGATGATGCCCCAACTTTCTTTGTCCTAGCTAGAACTTTCACACTCAGATCAGACTTTGTGTCGGTTCTAAGGGAGGGGAGAAATGCTGATTTTTTAGAAAACTCAAAAACAGCCATTCCCTTGCTTCCTGGGAGAACAGATTGTATTTTGCCTGAGGAATATGACAAATGCAAATTTGCTTTCTTTTACTCACTATGGAGTTGGTAAGTGTTTATAAATGGATTCACAGACAGATGAATGCTCTCCACTCACTCCCAAGACCAAGTTGTGTTTACTCTGACAGAGAAACGGTTGTAACACTTCTGACTTACCCTGCAAGATATTACTTATCCTTGTGAAACATGTTTTTTATTAGGCCAAAAAACTTGCCAGAAAGTGCACACATAATTTCTTCTAAAGTGGAGTGGGAGTTCATCTTGTCTTGTTCTGTGATCGTTGGGTCTGAATACTTTCCTTCCAAATCTCTGGATTCTCAGACAGGCGAGGCTGTGAGTCTCCACCAAAGCTAAGAGCAGGGTAGAAGGTGAAAGTGGGTTTCCTGGGTGCCTGGGTGGCTCTCAGTTGGATCATGACTGCCTTCGGCACGGGTCATGATCCCAGGGTCCTGGGATCGAGCCCCGCGTCGGGCTCCCCCTGCTTCTCCCTATCCCTCTGCTTGTACTCTAGCTCTCTCTCTCTCTATCTGTCAAATAAATAAATAAAATCTTTTATTTATTTATTTAACAGAGAGAGACACAGTGAGAGAGGGAACACAAGCAGGGGGAGTAGGAGAGGGAGAAGCACGCCTCCCGCGGAGCAGGGAACCCGATGCGGGGCTCGATCCCAGGACCCTGGGATCATGACCTGGGCCGAAGGCAGACGCTTAATGACTGAGCCACCCAGGCGCCCCTAAGTAAATAAAATCTTAAAAAAAAAAAAAAAAAGTGGGTTTCCTGGTCGCACTGATCTGACCAGAACCGGGAGGTGGGACACCCGCTCCCCACTGGCCTCCTTCCTGGGACTGGAGACCTCACCGTCCTTCCGCCCCTCCACTCTAGCCTTGCCATGGCCCCATTTTGCTGCCTGTAAACTGGCAACTTCACTATCTGACCTGCTCATCTCATGGAATTGTTTCCAGAGACAAACGATCAAGCACAGAGAATGTCTGGAAAGCTATTACCCAAACTGGCTTCTCTAGGGAATGGAATGGGGTTAAGTGGAGAAGGGGGGGCAGGGCATCAGGATGTCTTTCAAGTTCAAACAACTCTGATCTTGTTTCAAAATTTTTAAAAGTATGAATTCCTTTTGTGATTAAAAAAAAAGTTTGTAAACGTTCACAGTGATTAAATATATCAATTTTCCAGTCCTGCTAAGCGGCTGGCTAGCTACTCTTCAACACCTGTGTGTGGGTCGCTGGGCCCGGCGTGGCCACTTTCCATCTGAGGGTGTCATTGAGATTGGCCAGGCTGGGGATCTGGGTTCCGGGGCAGGTGGCCGAAAGAGAAGGCGTGGCTCCACGTTGGCTGTGAGTTGGCTCCTCCCTCCTTCCTCTGAACCCCAGGTATGGGACATATGTTCCTCCCTGGGTGTCTGGCCAGACCAGCCTGCAGGCAGGAGCCATGGTGCCAGAGGGAGGGATGCTGCAGGACAAAATGGAGTCAGCACAGAGCACATTAAAAAAAATCAATTGCTGGGGCAACAGCCCACCAGAATGGGGGTGGGGCTGGGTGCTGAGGCCATCCTCCCAAGGAGCCAGCTTGCAGCTGGGGTTCTGGGCATGCTGATGGCTCAGCAGGCACTGAGGCCAGCCTGGGCCAACTGTATTCAGTGGCCAAGGGCACAGCCAGGGGCTGGCACACCTTCACCGGACAGCAAGGAGGAATGGGGCCGTGTGCATTCGTACTTGTTTATTTGTGTTTGAAGCTCCTCGCCAGTGTGTGTGGGTGCCGACTTCCCCAGGTGCGTAGAACCCACCCAGGATAAGCCCTCCCTTGCTCACAGCCCCTTCCAGGTCTGGGAAAGTGGCTGGGGGCATAATCCTTGGGGAACCCCAAATATCCCAGGAAGAAGGGACCCCATAAAGAGACCACCATTGTTTCTAAGAGGAGCAGTCTCCACCGACTGTCACTCTGCCCGTAACAGGAGGACCAGTCCCCAGGATGTCTCCCTGGAAGGGGGAGAGAGGGAGAGGAAGGAATGGTGGGGAGCCCAGGTCCTTCCAGCAAGCTGCATAAACCAGGTCACTTTAACAGTTAAGCTCAAGTTACAGAGACTCTCAGCCCCTCCGCCTGGGACATGGGGGCGCAAGGGGACAGAAGCGAGCAATGGTTCTCTCCTTGAGGCTGTAGCTGCTCAGTAGCCAACGGTGTGACTCGGGGTGGGGGTGAAGAATGACCTGGGTCTTGAGTCAGCACTGCCTCAGACCCCGACCCGATCTTGTCCTGAACAAGCGCACCTGTTAAGTTGGGAGAGACACCAACACATCCCTGCCTCCAACAGAACAGAACTGCTACTCAGAACAGAGGAAGCTCTTCCCTCCTCTATCAGCCCAGACAGAAGCCCAGACAGAAACCATCTCAGAGAGCGAGCAGCCTGGGGACTTCCCTAATTCAGGGGTCGGCAGGTTTCTGTAAAAGGCCAGATGGCAAAGATTTTCCACTTCGGGGCCGGGGTCTCCATCAGAACTACTCAGTTCTGCCATCATAGCATGAAAGCAAACAGATTTGTCAACAAATGGGCCTGGCTGTGCTCCAGTAAAGCTTTATTTATAAAAACAGGCAGGGGGCCAGATTTGGCCTGTGGAATGTCGTTTGCCCTTAGCCAACCCCTGCTGTAATTCACCAGACCCCTGCTAGGGCAGGTCTGAGCAGCCTTCAGGATTAGCCATCTTTTCCGAAACTCCTCTGGACCTGCAGTGGGTCTCAGGTTCCCTGAGAGCCTGGCTGTCCACCACT